TATAGAGACAATATCATAAAGAACATGTATCTAAGGTCACAGTATACTTTCAAATCATCCACATCATCATTCAATCGTCATTCAAATCACACAAACACACCTAGGTGGCACCACGGGACCAATCACATGCCCCGAACATGAGGGTTAGTGCATATAGCACTAACATGGCCCTGTAGCACCCTACCTCATACCGCAGCATGAAGGGGTTGATCGCAACCAACCGTACAGACCGCCGAAAGCTCGATGGAGGATCACAGCCCTACACACCGCTAACGCGCTCAGTCGGTGGAACGCGATCCTCTTATGGGGACTATGACCCTACACACTGTTGATGAGCACAGTCGGTGGATCGTAGCGAATCCAGCCCTACACACCCTGAGGGACTCAGTCGGTGGGCGAAGATCCTCGGAGACTACGACCCTACACACCGCTGGCCCTTCACTCGGTGGATCGTAGCCGACCATAGCCCTACACACCGCCTGATCACTCATTCGGTGGGCTATGGCCTTCCTCAGGCTGGTGGCGCTACACACCGTTGGCGCGTCCAGTCGGTGGACCATCTGCACACGAGGCCCGCGGGCTGTAGCCCAAGAAGTGAATCACTGACCGCAGCCAGGAAAATGAACCGCAGCTCATAAACAACCAATTTGACCGCAGCCAACTTCTGAACCGCAGCTCAGGAACAACCAATTTGATCGCAGCCAAATGGGGGAATCATGCATCACATAACACATTATAGCACATAATAGCACATTAGGAAGGGGGAGACGTATAAATAAACTTACGTGTGATCATTCGCATACTAAGAGTAGTCCTAAGGGGTTCATGCATTCTTCTCCTAGGCCAACGGGTTACCGATTCACTAGCATGCAATTCCTAAGACTCTTTATCCTACAAATGGCACCCGAAACATCAAACTAGACTCGAGCACGACAAACGGGGTCCGTTAGGACACCACGGGGAATGGGGAACATCAAACGGGGAAGCCGAGGACCCGGGGTGGGTGACAGACCAGCGGGTAGCCGGTGGGTGGGGGTCACCCGCCGGCTACCCGCCGACGATGATCTTCCGGGCAGCGGGTGGCCGGCGGTCAGGCGTCTACCCGCCGGCTACCCGCTGCCTAGCGGTGATTCTCATGCAGCGGGTAAGTGGCGGGTACCCCTATTTATATATCTAAGAGTCCCAATTAGGGTCTAAATTGTATGGGCTTGCTAATTCTATTCCTCATAGGACGGGGTCGGTTTTAGGGATAAGGGTCCATGAACTATGGTGGAACCTTCTTAGTTAATTAATGGATTTTAATTCCCTTTTTAGGGTAAGTAATTAATTAATTAATTTGGTTTTAGGGGGCGTAACACGGGGTGTTACACTCTCCCCCCCCCCCCCCCTTACAAGAGGCTTCGTCCCCGAAGCCGGTGCGTAGATCCATTCTTTCACCCCCGGACGTCACGTATTTTGGCCTCCTGATTAGGAACGTTGCCCCACGCGCTGTCTTTGTTGGGGTAGATTGGATTTCTGGTGAAGTGGTAATTGGAAAGTTCGGGTCTACCTTGGTTTCCTGCTCCTGAACTGGACGCCCCGCGAGTGCCCAATATGGTCTCGATTGCTGCCACCCTCTGATCTAAAGCGCGTGTTGTGTGGATTAGGGACGAAGACCCTTCGTCCATGATTTGGTTCTACCGGGTGAGCTGTGCGAGGATGCGCTCGTTGATGGATTCTTCATTTTGGTTCCTTGAGTTTCCCCTTGCTTGTGTGGGCGCCGGTGGGTTAGGTTCGATATCCTCCTCTTGTTCCTCATTCCCCTCCAGTCCCCCACATTCTTGCATTGTCCGTTTAAACTTTTTGTTGGAGATATCCAGTTGATCAACCAATTCCCTTCGTTCCTCCTCGAGTTTAAGGCAAATCTCCTCGAGGGTGATGTATCATCCCCCTTCGGTGTAGTAGATGTCATTGCGGCGGAGGTTCTAGGCATTGAAAATCATGCCGCTTACAGGTTTGATTTCTGTGTGGCTTAGGTCTACTCCCTTTTTCTCCATGATCCAACTTAGGATCATTCCGTAAGGTAGACTAAGTCGGTTGCTAGTCTTGCAAAACTCCATGTGTTTCAACATAAGGGCCGGTAGATTGAACTTGATCTTGTGCTTTAGGAAGTAGGCAAAAGTGCACTCCAAACTTCCCACATCCTTGCTTTTGTTGTTTGTGGGCAACAAGCTATCGGTCACAATCATGACTAGTATCTTTTGTTCAGCGGTTAGCCATTTTCTGTTTGGCCGGGTGGCCGAGGTGAAGCCTTATTCTTTTCCTAGTAGGTACCCGAGGTAATCCATATACCCCATGTCTTGAGTACCAATCCATCCCTTTCGGTCGTGATCCGACACACCTGTGGTGGTCAGTTTTAGGAGTTTGGCCAAGCGGCCCTCGGTATTTTTCAGCATTGTGCGGTTTTTCCAAGGTGGCGTCTTTTCCGGTGTTGTTTTTTTGGCAGGACTCCAGCGAGACTCCTGCGAGGATTTTCTGGCGACGAGGCGGCGACCTGTTTGGTTTCGAACGGAGAGGATGCGGCTAACCTAGGTGGTGTGGGCGGCTACGTCGTTGGTGGGGATCTTGGCCGGTGTGAGTTATGGTGTTGCGTGGCAGTGGGTGGTCGACGGGCGTCCTCCGGGCGGTGGTGGCAGCGGGTCCGTCGCAGGCAGCTTCCGGGCGGTGGCGACGGGTTGTGCGGGTGGTCGCCGGTGGTGTTGCGGGGCGGTGGCTGTTGGCGGGGTGGTTGGGGTGTGTTTGGGTGGTGGCGGTGGCGTGTTGTGGAGGTGAGGAGAGAGAGAGAGTTTGTGTGCTTGGAGGAGGAAGAAGGGTTTTTGATTTGGGGGTTTTGTGGGTTTTAGGGACTTTAGGGGGTTTGAGAAGGGAGTGTTCCCTTAAGGTTTTAAGAAATACTCATAGTTTAGTGGTTAAGCTCTTGGTTTCATAAATGGAAGGTCAAGGGTTTAATTCCCATTGGTAACATTAGCTTCTTTTGTTGTGTCCCCCTTTTTGGGTTTCCTTTGTCTTTTTCCTTCTTTTGTCTTTTAGTGGTAGAAGGTTTGACTGGACTGCTTTGTTGGACCCCTTTTTGGGTTTCCTTTGTCTTTTTCCTTCTTTTGTCTTTTAGTGGTAGAAGGTTTGACTGGACTGCTTTGTTGGACTTTGGTGGCGTGTGAGTTCCTGGGGTAGTCTAGTCCCTCCTTTTATGCTAATTTATTTTGATTTTATTCATAATAATTCCGAAGTAGCTAAACTAAACAAGTAACTTTACTATGAGGGTGGTTACAAGGGGTTTATTAGTCTATCCTAAACAGAACTCGTCTTCTTGGTTTTCTTTTGTTTGGTTAGTGGGATTTTTGTTTCCTGGGGCTGTGTTTTCTTCGTCGAGGATGTCCTCGTTTTCGAGTTCGACTTGGGTGCGGCTCGTGACGAATACTTTTCCGGGGGCACCGTAATTTCCCTGATTGTTCGTGCCTCCGCGTTGGCCTATGGCTGTAAGGCGTGGGTTTGAGGGTTGAGTGCAGTGGAAGGACTTGTGTCCTTCTTTTCCACAGTTGAAGCATCGCAAGGGATTTCCCATGCAGTCCTTGCCTCTGTGGTCCTTGTTGCACCTTGGGCATGAGAAGCCCCTTGTACTGGTTTCGTTGTTTCCCTGGAGCGGCCTTTGGCTGGCCGGATTGCTTGGTCTGGTGTTAGCGTCGTTGCTTAGTCTTTTCATAGGAGGTGTCCCACCTCCTGTGTTCCTTTTTCGAATCTGCTCCTGAACCCCTCGTTGTAGTAGTTGGATTCGGTAGAGGTTGGCGGCACTGGAGTAAGTCTCGTTGAGGGTCCGGGGTCCGCTTATCACCAATGCTTTTCGGGCTTCGAAGTTGAGGCCCGATATGAATTGTTCTATTTTGGTTGCCTCTATGGGGACCAATTCTGGTGCGAAGCGTGCTAGTTCGAGGAACCGTTTATGGTATTCCATGACGGTAGTTGTTCCTTGCTTTAGGTGGAGGAACTCTTCGTGCATGGATGCCCTTATGTGTGCTGGGTAGAATCTTTCTCGTAGTCGTGTTTTTAAGTTTTCCTACTTGAATCCTGGTTCCTGTCTGTAAGTGGGTCCCTCGTGGATCCACCAGAGGTCCACCTCGTGTCCGAAGTAGAACGAGGCTCTCTCTACACGACGCTCTTCTGGGCATTCCACCAACCCCAGAATTTTGTCGAAGGTTCGAATCCATTCCTCAAGGATGGCGGGATCTTCTTCTCCAGAGACGGTGGGTGGTCGATGATTTGAAACTTGTCGGGCGACCTCTGAGTTTGTGTTTGGTGGATGTGGTTGTGGCCTGTTGTTGCGGAGAGCTACGTCGCTCAGTGTTTGGGCGACTTGGGTTAGTTGTTGCAGTGTTTGAGCTAGGGGGTCGTGTGTCGCGGGTTCCGGAGTCCTTGATTGTCTTCTGTTTGGTGCCATGATGTTGATCTATAGAGCCGAATGTTCATAGTAAATGTCGAGTCAGAGTGTTGTACCCTTACCTTGATGCGATAAGCGAAGGGGGAGTTCTTTTAAATTAGGTGTGGATTAGTGTTAGGGAAAGTTTAGGGGTTTCACATTCTCACCGCGCGTCCTACGATTCCTAAGTCCTATCTCACTGAACTCCTAGAGTTTTAAGCCTAATGTCCTAAAATCTGGTCTTAAGAGTCTTATCCTAGGGTCAAACTTAGGCTCTAATACCAACTGTAACACCCCGAAATTTTGAAACTTTTAATGCTTATATAATAAAGGTGAATTCTCATTAAATCTCAAAATCAACATAAGAGTGCGGGGTGCTATGCCACATCTGAGCTGGAAAACTCAGATGTACAGGCTAAACTAACTAAGCAATCTAATGATATCCATAAGAATAGTGATAGATTGGAGGAGCTTGGTGATATTAAAGGAAAAATTGAAGTTCAAGTTACTGCTCCAATTATAGAATTATCAGCCCCTGTTCATTGTGTAGTAATGGAACATTTGGGTATGCATGAGGTGATGAACCGCAATGAAATTGTTGGGATGGATTATGTGATTTTGGGTGGAAAGTTCCCACTGGAGAACATTGACTATGCATCATTTGTAGGAATTGTGAGAGTTGATGTGGGATCATATGTCTTACATGTTAATCCTAAAATGCCAATGCATTGTGAAACTTATAATTGTGCTGAGTTGGTTGGAATGGATTTATGTGGGTTGGATTGAAAAATTTTCAAAGATAAATATTGATTTTGCCTATCTAATAATGATTGTTTTAACTGCTATGGGGTGGATGCTGCAAGTTGAAGTGAAATTGGTTGTCTTCTATGGCAATCATAGAATACAAAGGGGCACTGGATTTCCTTTTGATCCAGGAGGAATGCTAAAATTATAAGTTGTTTGTTGCTGCAAGTTTAACTACTATTGCTTGTGTTGCTGTGATGTTATTTGTTTGGCTTGGTATGATGGAGCTGAATGTGGTGATAAAAAGCTCAATGAGTTGGAGAGTATGACTGCAATTATTGGGATAATCTGTGTTCTTATTTGATTGAATAATGTGAAGTATGTTCTCTTGGGAGTTGTTAATGGAGGGCAGAAGAATTTCTCCATAAATAAATGGAGGAATGTTGCTCTGGAGCAGATCTACCAGTCACTATAGAGTGACAGTGGCTTGAGAGAATGCATGGGAGAGGCACTGGCTTCACATCCTGAGACTTACTGTGCAACTGCAGTTAAGGAATCTGGTAACTGTTGCAAAACTGTGAGGAAATTCACTTATCAATCAAACTCTATGCCTTCTGATATTCAAGATGAAGCTAAAGGAACCTGAAATTTGTAAGGTTCATCTTGTTATTGCTGTACCATCTCAAGAAAAGTGTGTGTATAAGAACTCAAATGCAACCATTAGAAGTTGGACAAATGATGAAGACGTATGGTTGTCTGCACAAGAAGCAGAGACAGCAGCAAGATCATTGATACGAGTATATCCACAGTAGAAGAAGGTGAAAATCATGAATTGGGAGAAAGAAAAGAAACAACCCATGCTACTATGCCAAGGAGAAAACGAAGGAAACCGGCATGGATGGTTGATTACATTTGTTAGACTAAGTTTATTCGTAATAGGATACATTAGTTTAGTCCTAATACATTATTATATCATATTAATTAGGAATCATAGTCCTAAGCATAATAGGAGTAACTTAGTATATAATCACCCTGCATGCTAGGGGGAAAGACATGCGAATTATTATTATCTTTTTCTTCTCTACTCTCATCTTCCTTCTCTGAAATCTCTCTCTCTCTATCTCTCCCTCTCTCTCTCTGATTTTTCCCCTCCCCTAATTCCATCTTTGGAGTCTGCACCCACTCAAAGCGGTGCCGGCTTGATACGGGTTCGTATCAATTGGTGCTTTCATTGCATCGAACTCATCTTTCTTGTTCTTTTACACACTCAAAACTGTAATCCTACTTCATTATGTCAGACAACCAATCCACATCAACAACTCGTCCTTGGGAGCAGGCAATTGCCGAATTTCAAAAAAATTATGATAGACAAACTGTTACAAATCACCAACTCATTCAACAACTCATTACCTCCGTGTCACGGTTGGAAACGATGGTAACAACAAATAAAAATGCAGCAGTGCAACCTCAAACACATGGAATTTTAGGGCCTCCACCTGATAATCATCTACAACCATCTTTGCAACCGGAGAGTGGCCAAGGGACTCAACGATTTCATATGAAACTTGAGTTACCTCGCTTTGATGGCTCAGACCCTCATGGTTGGATATTTAGAATTCAAGAATATTTTGATTTTTATGATACACCCGACACACAGCGATTGCGAATATCAGGATTCACAATGGAAGGGATTGCTTCTGGGTGGTATAAATGGATGAAAAGGAATGGAATGTTAACTACATGGAAGGAATTTTTACAGAATATCACAAAGCGGTTCGGCGAGTCTCGTTTTGAGGATTCCCAAGGAAAATTATCAAAATTGACACAGCAAACCACAGAAGATCCAATCTTAGAAGAAGAAACCATAGTGCATGAGCAAGATGACATAATCGCAGGAGATATTTCCAGTTTAAACTCATTGGCAGGCCCGGTTAATCCCAGATCACTTAAACTTTTGGGAGAAGTTAATGGCCGAAAGTTACAGATTTTAATAGATAGTGGCAGCACCCACAACTTTGTGCAACCCAAAATTGCTGAGCAATTAAAGTTACATACTTTGAAGGTCACACTAAGTGGCACAACACTGAAGAGAAGTACATTATACCATCCACAGACTGACGGGCATACAGAAGTAATGAATCGAGTATTAGAGCAATACTTAAGGGCTTTTACTCACATCAAACCAACCAATTGGACGTCATACTTGGGATGGGCAGAATTTTGCAGCAATACAAGACCACCACCCACCTTAGCACTGTATACAAAAGACACACCAACAGTGCAAACACTAGATGAATTATTGTTGGATCGTGACAGATTGATAAGGCCACTGAAACACAATCTTCGGGAAGCTCAGCATCGCATGGCCCAAAAAGCCAATGCCAAAAAAAGCAAAGTGAAATTTTCAGTAGGAGATAAGGTTTGGCTTCGTCTACAACTATATAGACAGATATCAATAGCACGTAGAAACTCTAAACTAGCACGACGCTATTATGGTCAATTCAACATCTTGGAAAAAATATGGGAAGTTGCATACCGCCTCGAGCTACTACCACAAGCAAGAATTCATTCAGTATTCCATGTCTCACAACTCAAGAAACACATAGGAACTGAAGAAAATATAGAGGTCCAATTACCAGAACAAATTGTGGGCCGATCACCAATTTCAGCTCTACTAGCACTCTGTGGGGAACAGAATGTTCTAAAAAATGGAAAAATACAACACCAAGTCTTAGTGCAATGGTTAGATAGTAGTCCAGAAAACGCCACTTGGGAAGCTGCCGAGGAAATAGAACGATGGTACCCGAATCTCCACCTTGAGGACAAGGTGGTCGTCGAAGGGAAGGGGAGTGATACAAGTATATCCACAGTAGAAGAAGGTGAAAATCATGAATTGGGAGAAAGAAAAGAAACAACCCATGCTACTATGCCAAGGAGAAAACGAAGGAAACCGGCATGGATGGTTGATTACATTTGTTAGACTAAGTTTATTCGTAATAGGATACATTAGTTTAGTCCTAATACATTATTATATCATATTAATTAGGAATCATAGTCCTAAGCATAATAGGAGTAACTTAGTATATAATCACCCTGCATGCTAGGGGGAAAGACATGCGAATTATTATTATCTTTTTCTTCTCTACTCTCATCTTCCTTCTCTGAAATCTCTCTCTCTCTATCTCTCCCTCTCTCTCTCTGATTTTTCCCCTCCCCTAATTCCATCTTTGGAGTCTGCACCCACTCAAAGCGGTGCCGGCTTGATACGGGTTCGTATCAATCATATCCTTCCCATCAAGTTTCCCTAGGCTTACAAGATATAACCAGAAAGTGCCATTGTCTATAAGGAAGTTGCTGAGATTGGACCAAATAAGCTACTACATGGGGATGCTTCATGCTTATCATCATGTCACTAACCGGGTTCTCTTGACTGATCCTTGGGGACAAGGATCTATTAGAGGGGAAGATATTGTAACGCCCCAAGACATCAGAATTGAAGAAAAAGCAAAGCCAATCAGAATGCACACCAGGATGACGTCGTTTTACCCTTAGGCTGTTGGTTGTTGCTAATCTGTTAGTTGTTACTAGATAATTCCCATGTATAAGTAGGGGATAGTTTTACTGAAGGCTTATGTTTTTTTGAATTAATCTACTAGGATATCTTCTTTTCTCTCAATTCTCTCTACCCTCTCTGTTCTTCTCTCCACTCTGCAAACTATTCTTTTCTTCTTCTCATCTTGCAATTCTCTTCTATTTCCTCTCTATTTTCTCTGTTCAATTTCCAGAATCATTACAGGTTTTTCCCCTTCTTTACCACCAATTTTCTCATTCCTAGCTGAGAGCCCCCTTTCATCCTTATCTAGGGCTTTAAATTCTTCCCCTAGTTCTTTTTCAAATTCCCTTTCTAGACGATTGCTCACAGCAGTCTCAGCTTTCTTTCGGCAATCGTCATATCCTACACCACGGCGCACATAGCACTGTGCGTCGCGCGCCTCCCAAAACGACGTCGTTTTGGGGTAGTGTTGGGAGGCGCGGTAGGAAGTTGCTGAGATTATGTGTATTTGTTCACAACGTTATGTGTATTTGTTCACAACGTTATGTGTATTGGTTCATACAGTTATGTGTATTTTTTATACAATTATGTACATTCTTTTTATACAATTATGTACATCCGAATCAGAAAATTTGTGTGTATTATGTTAAGAGTTGATGTGTATTATGTTAAAAATTTATGTTTATTATGTATTATGTTAGATTATGTGTATTATCTTTTAAAAAGAGTATGTATATTTTGTTATATAATTATGTACATTCATGTATAACATTATGTGTATTCTAGTATAACATTATGTACATTCTTGAACAGCGGGTTTTTTTTTAAAGAAAAAACTACTGCCATTCACTGGGGCGGGAAATTTCAAAAAAAAAAAATAATTAAAACGACGTCGTTTTGCATCTGGGCGCATAGTGCAACGCGCGCCGTGGTGTAGGATATAAATTGCCTTCTTCAATCGTTATACCCTACACCACGGCGCGCATAGCACTGTGCGCCGCGCGCGTCCCAAAACGACGTCGTTTTGGGATCGTTTTGGGAGGCGCGGTAGGAAGTTGCTGTGATTATGTGTATTTGTTCACACAATTATGTGTATTTGTTCACACAATTATGTGTATTTGTTCATACAGTTATGTACATTTTTTATACAATTATGTACATTCTTTTTATACAATTGTGTACATCCGAATCAGAAAATTTGTGTGTATTATGTTAAGAGTTTATGTGTATTATGTTAAAAGTTTATGTTTATTATGTATTATGTTAGATTATGTGTATTATCTTTTAAAAACAGTATGTATATTTTGTTATATAATTATGTACATTATGTATACAATTATGTGTATTCTATTATAACATTATGTACATTTT